TATATATATATATATATATGCAATATTTCATCTCACACGCAACCTCTTTCGCCATCGTTGCAGACAATTTGATTTCACTTTGTTTTTCAGTGCATAGTGATGGAATTACATCCAATGTACCTGATGGTACCAGCCACGTTGATGTGCTCGTTCTCGTTCCGTCTGCCGGTCGGAACACCACCGAACGCGATCATAGCCGTCCAGGGGCACATACCGACCAAGTGGCTCATAACTGGCGGCTTCGTGCCCGCGATTTATAGTCTGATAGTACAGGTCATTCTGTTTCCGACGTGGGGCGTCTTCGTTTTCGGGATCGGCGAGTTCCCCGATTGGGCCGTATACAATGTGTCTGACGCGAACGCACGTTGCGCGGGTTCGTAATCGGTGGGAACTACAATTTGCGACACTTAACATTTCGATGTTAGTATAACAAATACTAAACTACTTCACAAGAATATTATTTCTTAAAAATTGTGTAATATTAGACATTGATGTATTGCACTTTACAAATAAATATACTTACAGCGTACATAAAACAATATTGTGTTGTAATAGACAATGTACTTTAGTAATATAATTATTCGTACGAAACAAGAACGACGGAAAAGATATAGAACTCATATGTGCGTCAGATTTTGCAAATATAAGGTAAACATCTAAAGTAAAATATTTATCAAACTATCTTTCGGAATAAAAGTAAAACCAATATAAAATAATATTACGGCAAACATTACACTAATTAATAGAATTATACTAACGATTACTAGAGTTAATCGCCGTTCGCAATGCTTGTGTTACCAATGCGCAATTAAATCGAATCCGCGATAAAATACGCATCAATTACTTTCACTTTGCAAAAGTTTTTTCTCTTTAACATTTTACCTGTATATATTTGTACATGTGTATATATATATATATATATATATATATATATATATATATATATATATATATAATTTTTTTTTTTACACACATAACGTAGACAGGAAAATACATCCTCGTGAGAAATAAAAGAAAAATCCATGTACTTTGTTCTCCTTTATACAGAGAAAGATCTATGTAGAAAATGCATCGCCTTGTCATAATTTCATGATTGAGAACGTTTGATGTAAAACCTGTTAGTGTGATATAAATGTAATGTCAGTATCATATTCGTAGCGTTCATTTATATCCTCACAGAGGATGGAGCAGTAATATACCATTGAATAGGTACAATATATAGTATTTTCCAATAGATGTTACTTCTAACAGAGGTACTGTAGTATTCTTTTTTACAATACGTACAGAGTAATGTCTCTCTGCACAGTCCACATAATTGCTTTATAATTTTGAATTATATGGCTATATTGGTTTTTTCAATCTTCCAGACATGTAGATTGTTTAGCCATTAAATAGTAACAAATTTTAAATGGGAGCATGTGGCTTCAGTCCAGGAGATTCACTTTTCTTTGGGCTGGCATTGATTTCCTGCTGTTCCTGCCTACGGTGTCTTAGCATGGTAGATAACACAACATTGAAACTAGCAGTCTTCTTTTTAGCACTACCTTTAGGAGTACTTTCTCCCAATCTTCGAACAGGCAATCTCGGTGATATCTCATCCATGAAATCAAAGTCGGACTTTTCTTCGGCCCTACAAGAATAATACATTTCAAATTTGGTAAAAAATAATAGTCACATAGTAATAAAATAAGAAATTTTGTCACACAGTACAAGACCATTCTTGATTTATTAATTAATTTTAGGTCTAAATAAATAAAGATTATAATATATTCTTACTTGTATTCTTGAGATCCATGCTCTTGTTGCCGATTGTTTGAAGGAAGGGGAGAAGGACCTCGTCTACCAGGACACTTCCATTCAAGCTCCAGCACACGATTGTTAGTATCCAAGCCCTCGATCAATGAAAGTATATCTTCAGCTTTTATATTCCATTCACGCTGTGTAAATAGAAAAAATGCATATATATTAATTGAATACAAAGAAATTCGAAATTTGAATTTATTATTTATGAATAGTAAACGCAATCGAGATCAGGTCTAAAAGTATGTGTGTATCTTACCTTTGCATCTACCTCGTATTTCTCATCATCGGAACATTCTACACACCAATCCTCCTCATTGCATTCCATTTTGATTAAATAATATAAAATTAACAATAAACAACACTAATCAATCAGTTCAAGACATGCAGTGAAACATACGCATTGTGAGGTTATAATTCATTTGTGATCACTTTTATAATTTACACGACTGTTTCTTGTGCAGAGATCTACATTCTTCCTTTCACGTCTGTGACACAACGCGTTGTAATGATTTCACGATTTCTCTGCAGATTGTAATTACAAAAGGTACGACATCGAACGATAGCGGTCCTATGGCTATAGTTTAGGTTAAGTTGAATTAGCGCCTTTGGTATCGTCGTAAGCACGCGGGTAACGTCGTACGCGACATTATCGACACAAGTATTAATTATTATAATAAAAACTAATACAAAACAGACTATAAGTGAATATACATAAACTTCATATAATAATGAGTCGTTAAAAATGAATTGCTTCATCAAATTATATCATATAACATATATTTTCAATGAAATTGTTTGGATAAATTTTTGTTTATATATCAAAATAATAATCATTATAATAAATAATTACAATTAATTATTAATAGTAATCATAATGAATAACAAATAACAACATACTATTAAAGTTGTAAAACTTAGCCAGGACGAATGTTTTTCCGAAATATCAACTATAACGACATTATGTCGTATGACATTTAATGTATTACTAGGTATTATTCTTTTGCCTTCCTCAGCAATAACAAACAAAGCAATTTTCTACGATCAATTTGATCTCTACGATTTATAACATGTATTTGTCTATCATGATAAAAACATGTGCAAATGTATATATTCGCGCATGCACAAACAACAGCATTCTAAACGCGTATCTACTTGTACCAGAAAAAATGAACATAAGAATATTAATTTGTATCATTATAAACGTCTATATATACATGCATAAATAGATATATCTTAGGACTTGGGTCGATTGTATATACTTCCGCTCTACATGTAGCTTTTATGTCCTACAATTCCTCGTAAAATACTTCTGTCTCCACCTTCTAATGGTGTAAAACAAATTTATCTAAAGTAGATTTTATCACTAATAATTAATTCAACTTCTTTTTAAATAGAGATATTGATTTTTTTCGCTCCTCCGTACAAATTTAACATCCTCTATAAAACTTATTTACACTACCTCAAGATAATTATGTTCTATCTTTTGTTATCGCTATATTGTTGTCATTGTTAGAAGTAGTACTTTATGATATATATACAGGGTATTGGAAAAGTCTGGAAACGGTCGAATATCTCGAAAACAAACCATTTTAAAGAAAACTGTTTCAGATAAAAGTTGTTTGGTTCGAAGGGATCTATAAAAAGGTGTAATTGGTCTAACTTTGAATAGTCATTTGAAAGTCATATGAAGATCATCTTTAATTTTTTAAATTGAACACCCCATATATTATTACATATTCTTGTAGCTTATCTCGAGAGCTTTCCAAAACACTATAATAAAATATTTTTTCGTTAAGAACTTTTCGAGTAATAACACTTGAAATTTCCAGCACTTTGACATAGAATACAAAATATCTCGTAAAATATGCATCTTTCGATTATCTTGCCTTAATGCTTTTTTGCACAGAATAATGAGACAAATTAATTAGCTTAAAAAAGCACAAAAAATTTTTTTATATTTATTATGTAAAAAATTTTTGTTTTTTTAAGTTAATTAATTTGTCTCATTATTCTGTGCAAAAAAACATTAAGGCAAGATAATCGAAAGATGAATATTTTACGAGATATTTTGTATTCTATGTCAAAGTGCTGGAAATTTCAAGTGTTATTACTCGAAAAGTTCTTAACGAAAAAATATTTTATTATAGTGTTTTGGAAAGCTCTCGAGATAAGCTATAAGAATATGTAATAATATATGGGGTGTTTCATTAAAAAAATTTAAGATAACTTTTATATGACCTTCAAATGACTATTTAAAATCAAACCAATTATACCTTTTTATAGATCCCTTCGAACCAAACAACTTTTATCTGAAACAGTTTTCTTTAAAAGTTTGTTTTCGAGATATTCGACCGTTTTCAGACTTTTCTAACACCCTGTATATTTTCCCTAACATTCTCATATTTAATTTGATCACTAGTATTACTGTCAAACTAATTGTTCTAGCAAATAAATGAACAAATATATAAAAATCCTAGATTATGTGAATCATCAGGATCATCAAACATTTGAATCTTAGCAGTGGTTTTAAGATTAAATACACACATCTCTTTCGAGGAAAATCGAATAAAAATAACACTCTGCAGTTGTAAATCGAATGCGGTCACAAGTGAATTGGTTTAAACGTTATGCGTGAGCGAGAGCAATTTTATACTCTCCGTGTTGTGAATAGCGAGGGAAAAAGTAGCCCTTACGTATCATTCCACCAGCGCACCTCTCCCTCTTTCCGTGCAATTACGAGTCTTTATCACCACATTCGATCGGGTGTGCGGGAAATACATGAGTGATCGAAGTTATAATGTTTACACAAACGTTTCATTTTCACAAGTACCTCTCTTTGACGACGACGACGACGACGACGACGACATCGGGACTGATTCAGTCCTGCACGCGTTCTCAAAGTCGAAGGCTACGCGTTGAACATTTTGTCTAACAAAATTACTTCGATTTCTGGATAAGCCGGACAGCACTTCTCACGCTGAATTCAAGCATTGCTTCTAGTTTCTCCGCATCACATCGGATTCCTACGCATAAAACACACGATTTGATGTCATAAAAAATGCGCACTTCGGCATTCGCGTTTATCTTTGCGTCACAAGATGTAATTGTATAATTAATTTCTTAATACATAAAATTGAAATTAATCTTACACATCGACGAACAAACGGCAGTTTCGTGAAAAATTTTCAGTGACGACACAAGTGTCAAACAAACAGTAATTCCCGACTGCGTTTTTGGATAAACCGTAATGGTAGAAACGTGCCGGAAACATTACACGTAAATTGCGTTTGCCGATGCAATCAGCAGTAGATGTGGATCGCGATAGATCGCGACTGTGAGCGTAGATCCTGACACATGATCGACGCGAAAGTTGGATATTATTCATCGGATCGATCAAGTAACGCTATTAAAAACGGCTGCGTACGCAAAGTGTATACTTAAACCGTGTGTTACGCTGGACGAGGACATTGTATAAGTGTCTTGTTCCTACCTTTACAGTTATGCATTCGTGCTGTAAGTGTGTATACCATGAGAGTATAATAATATCGTTGTTCGCGCCTCATTGCGTAGTAAACGAATAATCAGCGAATCGTTGTTGACGACTAACGCCAAATACATGAGATTAAATTGCAGATTTAATATATTATAATAAAGACACTCTCTCTAATAACCAGGTATGATTATCATTAGCAATTTATTTTTGTTACTTCACTCTTCACGAATATATTAATGTATTCATAGATGCTTTTCCACACCCAATGGCATACCTAATTATAAATATTCGAAGAATTTTTTAATGAGTAATTCGATGAATTTACTAGAAGCGTGATCGGAAAAGTTCACAGATTATCTTTCTAAATTTCTTAGAGTGAAATCTCATTGAAAAAAAGTAAAGTGTTCTATCGTCAAAAAAACATATTCAATCCAATTGATTGAAACATTCGCTCATATGGAATCTGCTTTAATCTCGAGTGAAACTGTTCTTTTATAGTTCCGAATGGCAATATTTTCACTATCGAGTGAAAATACTGCCACCTTTTTTTCGTTTTGAGTGAGATTTCACTCCAAGAAATTTAGAGAGTAAAAATGCGGCTTATCTTTGAGGAAAAAGTTCGGATATTTCTCTGCGTACACATTCGGTATACATATACTGTATAATAACGTTCGCGTGTTAAATCGACAACAACACGCCATGATATCCTTTAATCTCTGTCAGCGTTTCGGTCTAACACCTATCTAACGATCACACGTTGCACATCGGAGATAGCGCGATGGGGTAAATCGCATCATGCAATTTGATCGTATGCGAATACCGTCCGGTTTGATATTTCCAACAAAAGATTTCCTTCTTTTCTTTTGCGGACGAAAAAGACCGATAATCCAATTGAGATCAACTCCTCTCTTCATGAAACTCTCAGTCAAGGGTGTCCTTTCGTACACGCGCCTCTAGAAAAACAAGGTCGCGCGTTCGAGCACTGTATGAAGATAAGTGTGTGTTTTCGAAAGATAAACATCGGCCGCGAGGGTGATCGTCAATAATAATTATCTGTCGACGATCCGATGAGTATGAATGGACGGGTACGCAGGTGCAAAGCCAGATATACCTGCGACACGGCCGGTTTTTTCCCCGCAACTTTCACTCCGATGTGCGACGTTAACGTTGCAATGTGAATTTACTACGGTGAATCTTGACGATGCAGTCAGTGATACTCGTGGTGTTTGTTTCGCACGAAGAAAGGATTATGTCTCTTCTTCGTGAGATCCTCGTGTGAGTTCGTTTCTCGCCACGTGTCTCCTTCTTCGACAAATATCGAAAGGTAAAATTCGCGTCGTCGGGATTTGTTTTTTAATTCCCTTTTTTCTAATTTGCTACATATACCGCTTTACTTTCTTTGTCTCTTTCGATGTTGAACTGACTAAGAAGAGTCACTCGAGGGATTTGTGAATTCATTTGTTATGTAATTGCAGGGATTTGTCCGATGCAGCTTGCGAATTGTTTTGCAAGTACGTCTGAAAATAATATCGACCAAACCGCCCTTATGCCTAGGAAAACGCACGTTCGGTGGAATGATTTCGATAAGCAGGAAACAACCAACAGGATAAACAGTAAGACATACGTCTCACCTTGCCACTTTTATCATTGAAATAATTACGATTTTTAAAATACGTCACGCGACAATTGCTTCTAATTTTATCAAGTACACGCAGAACAATTTTCTCTTTGTATAAAAAAAAAAAAAAAATAAAAAAATAAAATTATCTTTATAAGATAGTTGTTTAAAAAATATAAACGTACCCAAGTGCTCGGGAGAAAGGGAACAATAGAGATCGATCGTTCCGAAGTGAGTATACGAGACACGAAACTCAATGTCATGATTTGCAAAATTTTAACAACCGAACTCCGCAAATAAGTCCGCCGTACTTAATTCTGTTCACCGTCACGGGAACAATTTAAATCAATAGCGTAATAACACGACGCTATCTGAATGTATAGACAAGCCCTCGAACGTGGATGAATATGACGTGAGATCCGAAGGGCCGAGTAACAAGTCGGTAAACAGCGATCTATATCAAGCGGTGTTCCCGATCTATCACCTCAGCAAACTGTCCGGTGTATTTCCAATGAGATTTGTCCGACAGGCATCCGGCAGATATCAAGGACGATTGAGCATTATCGACAGCATTTACAGGTGAAGATGACGCGCAAACTGAGTAAAACTCAACGGACACCTGCACAGAGATAAATTATGTTGCATTAACGCTCGCATAGACACTTGAATTAACATCTATTTTGTAAAATTATATTCTGTCAGAATTATTTCAATTGTTTTATTGATTTAATTTTAATTAATTAATTTATGTTTCCTGTATTCATATATTCTTATATTCACTTTTACATTGTGTTCTTGTCTCGCACTTTTCCTTTTCTTACTTACTAATATATTGTTACTTATATACGAATGTATAGATGAATTTATTGTAGCTATTAACTGCATATTAAGTATTCATTTCATTCTTGATTGTTAAATATGTATATAATATTTCTTATTTCTTGTTTCTCTTTTTCTTTCTCTTGTGTAGTCAAATGGTGTTTGCCCATTAATAAACATTATTATTATTATAGAATACCGACCAAATTGTTGCAATGATTAACAGAGGTAATCCAAAAAAGTATTCGCAATCTCAAAACTTTTATCATCGCTTCTAGAAAGACGCGTAGGAATTCAAAGATCTTAGATTTTAGATTTTCAAATTTGTAAATCTGACACCCCCATGTCTGATACTTGAATTTTTTAAATAAAATCTTATTTAAATATTTAAAAGTTAAATAAGCGAATATATATATATATATACACACACACATACATTTTTATCTTATGATTTAGAATTGATTAGTTGATTCAATCAAAGGAAATAGTATTTCTAAGTAAAGATAGGAAAAAATGTACATAGCATATGCCTGTTAATGTCCTTGATCGGAGCCGAAATCTGGGGCTTCTGGCGTGACCTGAGAGACGGATGGGAGTTCAGCACCCGATTAAAGTCTCAAAACGCGGTGATCGTTACCTGCAGCGACGTGTTGGGTGTGATGAGTCTCACGGCGGCCTCCGTCATCAGTTCAATTCTGCAATGGAAGTACGTGCATATCGTTATCGATAAACTGGTCGATGTAAGTCTCTCACTCAAGTGATCATTGCCGCGATAATTATGATCAATAGTGATGGGCCTGCGAGTTTTTACTTGTACGAAACGATCGTGCAAACATTCGAGTCTTTTTGGATAGTATTCAAGACAATTCGCATATTCTTTTCGTACATTTCGAGCGTACACTTTGAGGCCATCGCTATTCATTGAAACCGATGTACGATGCATTCACTGTTCGGTTTCACCACTCGCCAAGTGCGACGAGAAGATGGGCATCGTCTCGCCGAGGAAGCTCCGGAAATACACGATTCTGATGACGCTGAGCAGCCTCTCCTATTCCATCCTCATCTCCAGCCTCGACATTTACACGTGGAACCAAGTGAAGATGGATAAGATGATGAACGACAAGGGGCCGATCAACTACCTCCCTTTATACTTTATGTACGTAGTCATCATCATGATAGAGGTGCAGTACGCGATCGCCACGTACAACGTAGGCCAGAGGTTCTCCAGGCTCAACAAGAGCCTCGAGAATATCCTGAAGAGTAGCAGGATCACGAATCAGTTTCGGAAGGACCTTGGATTAGGTGCGTGTTAAGTCGTTTAGTTATATCTTTTTGCAAACCTCCATTTCGACGACGCCGATGACCTTTTTAACGCGATACGCATTCTTTAGCCGGCGACCTTCGTGATCAAGGACAACTCGCTGCGTACCTTCGGCAGGATCTGGGAAACGCTCGGATGTTTCGGAAATCGAAGATTACGGACTCCTCTGTTACGAATGGTACAGTTCGATTGCATTGCGCATTTCAGAAGCTTTTCTCAACAGCTAATAACGAGAGTTACATAAAAAGTATATTAGTCATATAATTGTATCAAATATAATCCAATAATATTCATATATATAAAATTAAATATAACAAATTGTTATATTTAATTTATTCATAGTCATAAAGAAAAAAAAACATCAATTTATATTCAGTATACCAAATTAATTTTTCATAAAATTATATGTAATTGTTATAATTACAAGATCAATAATAATCGAAGTTCTAGCAAATCCTTTTCCAGATGACAAAGATTCCCCGGAAAACATACCCCAACTGGTGACTGTGCACGCGTCCTTGTGCGACACGGTGACGTACATAAACAGCGCTTATGGCGTGGTTATACTTGTAGTCACGATCACCTGCTTGATACACTTGATTATCACGCCGTATTTTTTAATCATGGAAGCCGACGGGAAGCGTCAGCCACTGTTCCTCGTGGTGCAAACGATGTGGTGCATCTTTCATGTCTGGAGGCTGCTCATCTTCGTACAGCCCACGTACGCCGCTACGATTGAGGTGTCGAACGCAACTGCGCTAATTCAACTTAAATATATGTACAAATTAACGATAATTCATATATTAAAAGAAGAACGCGCGTGCAAATTGCGCAACTATTTTTTTAGGGAAAAAGGACGGCGATCTTGGTGAGTCAATTATTATCCATGAGACACGATAAAGAAAACAGGACGCAATTGGAAATTTTTTCGCTTCAACTTCTACACCGGCCCTTAGAGTTTTCAGCGTGTGGACTTTTTACTCTGGATCGTGGCCTCGTGACCTCAGTAAGGATGCTCGATCGTTTGTAATTTTCAAACGAACGAGTTAGCAAAGAAAAAGTCAATATTGATTTCCACGTAGATTGCCGGCGCTGTCACCACGTATCTCGTGATATTGATACAGTTCCAAAAGGAAGACGACTCGAAAGGCAATTTTGACATCCTGAAGAACGCCACGCTGATGCTAAGGAACGCATCGACGCTTCAAAATATCACTACGGGAAAATTAGGAAACACGCCATGATTCTTTATCGTTTCCCAGCGGGATTCTGTAATGAAACTTCGCGATTCTATAATAAAACTTTTTAAGAGTTCGTGCACGTATCGTCCATTTATTTGTCAAACATCCATGATTGAAAAGCTGAGTCGAATCTCTCACGTTTCGACCTGCAATATAAAGAAGCGTATTCTGCGTATTTTAGCGGACTAAGGCGTTAAAATTAATATAACAGATACGTAACATACTTAAAAATTCGTGCAAACCAATTCTTATATATACATAACCAAGTGTAATAATTACAAGACCTAATAAAAATGACGAGCCTCCTTCCGGGATAATAGACAATAGACCTGAACAACGATAGGAAGGATCGACGGAATAATGTAGGTCCTGAAGATGTGAGTCCGACAGATACGTGCAATGCGATAATGATATTTAATTATCCCAATTCTCTTACAGCTCGGTGGCAATATAAGAAATACGGTTTCGTCGTCTCTTTCTCTATCTCTTTCGACCCGGTTGTTAATTCACGAACGCTTTCTCATCTCATGATCAATTGACAGTTAATTAGCATTTTTCACTCCGTATGTAGTCGCGCTTTTTTTTTTTTTTTTTTTTTTTTTT